ATATATATATTATATTCAACTAAGTCTTGTGTAAAAAAAAAGTTAAGAAAATTTTCTTAAATCTTTTCTTACATTAAAATGATACATTACATCTCTTTTACGAGATGCTTACTTTGCTCCAATGAGGAAAATACCGATAAAACATACACTCCATCAGTTTTTCTTTCGTACCATTTCATCATTTTGTTAAAACTATGGTTATTAAAATTGATTCAACTTAAAGTTTATTCTGATTGGTTCTGTGCTTTCAAATTGAATAATGGTATCCAAATATATCGGTTCGCGTTCACTATGGTTTTTTTATCACAGCAAAATGCTCAATTACAAATTAGTATTTTAATTAAAGTATATTAATATTTATTCCTAAATGAGGCTTAAATTGAAATTAATTTCAGTCTGGTTTTAGTTCTACCTTTCCGAGTTGAAATAAAGAACTACTTAAAACGTTATCAATCTTGTCTATGCTGGCCCCAAAGCATGTCCGCACTATTCCCGCGCATAGAGGCTAGTGTGTGCTAAAGCAACCTTTTGAAATATATTATAAGAAAAATAAACAAATTTGTAATTCCAGATATAAACTAGAATGCAGGTAAACGTCCAAATTATTATTGAAAAAATAATACCTGAGTTAAAAATTATAATGGCTTTCTGATAAATTTGTAAAAAAAGTTCACAGTATGTCCCTATCCCCTATTTTTTTTGTTATGTTTAAAAAGAGATTTGATGATACATATATTTATAATTCTTCCATATCTACTTTCTCTTCCAGTCATCTTTATAGTATTTTTACTCTTAAGATTTAGATGATATTATCAAGTACAGACGAAGAAAAAAAGTATCTTCTCTATTACATATCACGGAGAATGTGATTGTCGTGCGTCATTATTTTCAATTAGGAGAAAAGACAAATAAAGATAAAGCAAATAGAGGCTTTTTAGGGAAATCAAATAGGGACTTCATCAGTTTTTCAGTTTAATAAAAGTTTTCCTTTGATATATATAGTAGCCCTGAAGTTAGGGAAAATTTCAGCTGTTACAGTTAAATTTGTTAATTGAAACAAATAGGGTAATTAGTATAAGTTTTTTTTTCAATAAAAATTGAAATATAAATCAGGACAGGTAATATTTAATGATATTTCTTAACATTACAAGTTTTAATAAAACTACTGTCTTAATAAAAAAATACTTTTTTCCCTAAATTAATTGTAAATAATAGAGATGTGATTTAGAGAATAGTGACGTATTGTTGAGAGGAAAAGTTTGCAAAAAAAAACTTTTTGGGAAGAAAACTTTTGTAATATATTATCACAAAGAATAATTTTTGAAAATAAATAAACTGGGAAAGAAATTTATTTCTAAAGAAGTATAAAATTGAATGGCAGTCGCAGGGAAATTTTGGTACGTTAGACTATTTTTTTTTGCAAACTTCAAAACATTTTTTTAAAAATAGAAACCTACTCGTTAGATAGGATTAATTATACTCTTCCTCTTGACTGCATCGATATACAATTTTTACCCTTATTTTTTCTTATTTTGGCAACGATTTCTTACTCAATACAAGCTTGAATTTTCTCAACTGGTGTAATAAATTGAAGGTGCAAGAGCTATTAAGCGAACATGGAACATGGTGTTAATTTTTTTTCTTCTTTTCTTAGATTTTCTACTTTTAACACAGTGAAAAAAAATATTGCACTGACATATTTAGGTCAATGCTGGCACATATTTATGTCACTTTTACTGTCCTATATTTTTCATTACTTATCGTAAGAGGAAAATAACTATATTTTATCAAAAAGATTGAATTTTTTTGTTCATCATGTATTCAATTGTTTAAAAAAAATTTGTAATATATTATCGAAAGAAAATTTAAAAAAAAAAGAATTTATTTTTGAAAAACAACATTGATTTGTTTCTAAGACAATGCTTTTGTTTCGGAAGTATTCTAACTTTAGAAACTATTTATGCTTACATTATGAATTACTTATATTAACATTAGATTTTACTTCATGTATTTTTATACAATACAATTTTGAGAAGATAGAATTTTGAACTATTTTTGTTTAAAAACTTATTTTACCAAAAAAATTTATTTATGAAACAATTTTTTAATAATTTAATTATATAAATTGTTATACTTTTAAAAATGTCCAACTTAAAGTTAAATTTCCCAGTTTTTAAAAACACATATAATTTATTTTTAGTAAAATAAATACTATTTAAAACAAATATATTAATGCCATTATTTAAAAAGTTTAAGAAAATAATATGGTTTTCTGATTATCAATGATTTCTAGAATTTTCACAATTCCTTTCCTTAACTTCGGAAATCATTTAGCATTTTAATGAAATTAAAATGAATTTTTGTTACAGAAATTTAAAAATAGATTTGAACAGTAATTTGGAAAAATTGATATGGTATTTGGATTTCCTAACAGTTAAATAAAAAATTAAATATAAAAATTTTTTTTTCGAAGTTTAGACTTTTTAAAAGGATTATCCGACAAATGAATTTCAGCACTTTTTTCGGATACAATAAAATTATTATTACTCTGTGTGTATTCAAAAATTATATTTATGTAGTGTATTTTTAGAAAATGCGAAACTGTTCCACCAGAAAATTAAAGTCACAGGATAATTTAAAAGTCAATAACGTAAACAACTTGTGTACAATGCACAAAAAAGTAAAAGTCCTGAATAACTAGTGATCTAATGACAAAATCTGCACTTGGTATGACTCAATTTTAATGGTTCGAGTACCCAAACTTAAGTATGCTAATTAATTTCAGCAAATGATACTTTAAACTTCGAAATCAGGCGCAAAACAAAATTTTCTGATTAAGCATGATTTTTTCATAGGCAGATATGGATTTTTAATTTGCCATTTGGCATTCCTCGCATTTCTAGTAATCACAATTTATTTAAATTATAATCACAGAAAATAAAGTGAAATGATATGGGTTGGAGTCTGCCTGCCGTAAGGCTAACCATGTGTGGTTTTGCGATTTTCCTTCTATGTAACGCAAATGCAGGTCATTTCCATCAAAAAAATAATAATAATAATTCCTCCAGAAAGGCAGATTTCTCCCTACACTTGATCCAAGAATTCCCTTATCTTCCGGATTGGTTTCAAAATTACGAAACTAGGGAGTTGAACATCGATAGTTGTTAACTAAAAATTGGGTCAGTTTTCCATCGACGGTTAAAAAATAAAATAAAATGATAATCGTATTAATCAAGATAGCAAAATAGAGACATATCTACCATTCCAGTGCATTCCCTACTCTTTTTTAATGTAAATTTTATGTAAAGTGTAATTTCCCAGTTTACTCTCACCCGGTATTCCCTAAACTTTTTTTAATATTTCTTAAATGAATAAAAGACATTTACGGATGTGCATTATTTTTCTTTGACAGCCTATTGAGCCAAAAAAGCACACTTCTAAGCGGACTTAGGTTACTTCAAGACCAACTGTCCAAAACTGGACAAACCAACAACCTCTTTCACCCGCACTGTCTGATGGGACTCTTTTCATCACCAACCACTCTAACTCTTCAAATGGTACTAAACTAAATATTATTAACTGTAAGTCATTGGACTTACAGTGTATTTCCAATTCCCACGTATCATCCAAAGCAGAACCAGCAATAAGGGGATTCTCCGCTCTACATGCAAGCGTCTTTCCGTTATCCTCAATGGATGGTCTGAATCTGAGGACACTGGTTGTGAAGTTGCCGTCCGTTGATACTGTATCTTTGTTGTGTTTCAGTCGAGTTGTACCCATCCACCAAGATATGACGGCAGGTGGTTTTGAACCAGCACTTTTGCACAAAAGATCCTCAGGTTTATCTGCCGACATAGATCTTGGCCCTCCGTCCAGCTTGACTGAGACAGGCCGAACTAGAATAAACAACAATGCGGTAAATATATTTATAGTGAACACTACAACAATTATTATTAAACACTTTTTGTATGTGATTTATAATGAATTAAATTCATAAAGGGTGAGAAAACTAACTAATTACTTAAAACAGCGGTTCCCAAATCAGTGTTCCACGAAATCCTAAGGTTCCAAGGCAAGATCACAGGGGTTCCGAGAGTTACGACTTTCTTTTTAATCAGTTATTTTTAAACTTGAAATTAAATTTATGTCTAATTAATAATGCATACTCATTTAATATTGCTGCTATTTTTATGAAATTATTTGATTAAAAAGCTTGTGTAAAAAGAAAATTCAAAAATTTTTTATTCTGATAACAATATGATAAATGAATAATAAATGGATATGCATGTATGAAGAACTGCATTATTATTTCGCATCGAAATAAAATAAGCAAATTCAATAATGGAGAAGCATGTTTTTCTGATGACCAGCCTTTATTTTCGTCCACTTTCGTTCTTAATTTAAGGGAAATCATTTTTTAAGTCTCAATAGTGCACCAAAATCAACTTAAGACCTGAACTAGATCCCGCCTTAGAGCAGTTAATTCAAGTGTTGACGCAAAACCTAATTTTTACAACCGCTTTGATAAAGCATTATGTTGAACAAATCTCGTTAAACTAAATATTTTCAAAATACTTAATAAAATTTAGATCATAACATTTCAAAAAAATTAATAGTCTTTCTCTAATTCTTTAAAATGTTGACAATTGCTAATGGAATTGATTAAACTTCGGGGTTCCGCCAAAATAAGGTTCATCATTTAGGGTTCCACAGCTAGAAAAGTTTTTGAATTGCTGGCGTAAAAAAAATCATTTTAAGATTTATTAATTAATGAAAATGTAATGAAATTTAGGGATGTTATCATTTTAACAAATAAGTAGGCAATTGAAACTTATGAATTTAAATGCTTCAAAGTGCTGAAAATAATAATAATTGGTTATATTTCGTTAAAGATTAACACCCAAATTGCATTCAATCTGGAATACATTCTGAGTGACGTTTTTACTAATACAACAGAAAATTTTAAAATGACGCATTAGGAATTAAATTAGTCCAGTAAAAAAAATCAAAAAATATTTTTCATTGTTAAAAACGTAGACGTGCTCAATTTTCTGAAGCCATTATTTATCTTTTTAAGATAAATTCACCCGTATGAAGTGCATTGGAATATATTAAAGAGAGCTTCTCAGAAATAAAAAAAATTCTATTGTATAAGATATATTTGATGCAGAATTTGGCAAATCTAACTTCAATACGTTGTTTTTTTAAAGAAGAAATATTGTGCGGTTCTCCTTTATATTTGCAAAAACATATTAAAGTTACTAAAATTGTCTAAATAGTATTTTAATTTTGTGTTAAGACAAATATAAATTCTTGAAAAACTCATTTTTGTTATTTATGAAGGAGACTTTTGTTTAAGAAAATATTTTATATCAGATTCAACTCAAATTGCACTGCGCAGCGTTTGCTTCAAACTAAGAAACCTTTGATACATATTAACTAAGAATATGATTCTTTTGTTATTCCCGCATCTATACTCATTAGTTTATTTTCATCAATATCATTCTCTCGGAGAGGTAAAATCATGGATGTCCAAAAGATGGCGCTGAGCCAACTGTGCTAAAGTAAACTAGTCTCCGGCAGCTAAAAGCATTTCTCACATTTTAAACTTATACAACTAAGATTTCTTTCCAACCTTAAACTTAAGATACATAAATATATTTCAACGTTTTTCTTTTTCTTCTTATGCTAACATTAAAACCAAATATATTGTTTCAAAAATAGATTGCATTGAAAATCGATTGTTTTCATCTTAAACAAATTTAATTGCTTTCTTGTCTTTTTTAAACAAAATTATCAGAAAGATCTTTGATAAGCAATGAAAATTTCGTTTTCTAGAAGATGTCATTAAATAATTATGAAAAATAAAACTGAATTATCGATAATTGTGCTATCTACTTTTATACAAAACATGCCGTCTGTTTGAAATAAAAATCTTTCAAATAGAAAAAAAATTCAATTAGCTTAATATTCTGTCTAAGAGCTAAGAAGAAAGTGTTTCTCAGAAAATGGAATCTGTTAATGAACTCATTTCTAGAAGAAGAGAAAATTGATTAAGTTGTTCATTAGCAAATTTTTTATTAATTATCAGAAAGTTTTTTATTACTAGAAAGACTTTTATATTAGAAGATCATCATTGTAAAGAAAAAAAAATGATCCCAAATGTGGAATTTATCCAGTTTATTGAAAATGAAACAATAAGTAAAATATGGAATAATAGTATGCAAGTGAATCCGGTTTATCCATTTATGCAGACAATTTGTTAAAATAGCTTTTACTATAGTAGTTAGATTTCTTGTAAAATATTCCTTGAAACTTTGTTGCAAAACACTTCTTGAAAATTCCTTGTAAGAAATTCCCTGTTAAATATCAATTGAAAGTTCTTTGTAAAAGATTCCCTGTTGAATATCCATTGAAAATTCCTTCGATAAGATTCCTTGTTAAATAACCATTGAAATTTATTGTAAAAGATTCCCTGTAAAATATCCAATGAAAATTGCTTGTTAAGGATTCCCTGCTAAATATCCATTGAAATTCCATGTAAATGATTCCCAGATTAAGAATTCTTGTCCCGCTATTAACGTCGGAAAGTAACAATGAAGGGAATGAATTCAGAAAATAACAATAGCAACCTTATTTACCTAAATTAGGGTAGCAGATAGCAGAGAGAGCAGCAGCATATCTTTTTTATTTTGCAAAAGTTTTTTTTTTATTTTTTTATTTTTTATTTTTTTTTTAAAGAAGCGAACACAAGGGAGCTATTTTATCTTGCACGTTCGTCATTTCTCAATGACGTTATTTGTAGTCATAAACACACAATTTATAAATTTATTTCTTAATAAACTCAAAAGATCAAGTTTATCGGAAGTTCTTTACAGCAGTTAAAATTCTGTAACTACCATCCACTTTCCCACCAAAAAACTACTGCCAACGTAAAAAGCGATAAATTAAATTTAGATTATAATATAATAAATCTAATAAATCTATCTAATAATCTAAATAATAAAACTAATAATAAATCTAATAAATCTATCCAATAATCTAAATAATAAGTCTAATAATAAATCTAATAAATCTATCTAATAATCTAAATAATAAGTCTAATAATAAATCTAAAGGAGCTTCCTTCTACAAACCAATATCTACCCAAAAAATATTTTAAGAAAAACATTGCTAGAAAATAATAGGGTTAAGTGAGTGAAAAGCATATACGTTATCAAAATCTATTGAATCACATGATTAAAAACTGCGATTAAAAAAAAAACTGATTTAAATACCGGAAGAAACTGGAAGGAGATGAAAGGCGATTGTCAGAAACGCCTCTAAATTTCTTCCGCCTATTAAACTGTTCTTTTTTTCCTTCTTCCGATCTCTTCTTTCTCAATATTAATTATTAATTCGCAAAGTTTTTATAAACTTTTTTACTTTTGCTTCATAAGTTTATTTTTTTGCACAAACATTAATTTAAATCTAATTTTCACTAATGTGTACATACTGTGGGTCATCATTTGTGCTTTATTTACTTGTTTGGTGTTATTGATTCATAAGAAAAAATATACTCTTTATTTATTTAAATTTTGATTTCACTTTTGAAAAAGAATCTAAAAATGTGCATTTTTTGTTCCATTATGTATTAATATGCTTACACTATGTCATTTCTTTGCGTTTTATTTGCAGATTTGGCGTTAAAGGTTGAGTAAAATATTTCCTTCTTTCCTTTTAATTTTAACGTCATTTTTGACATATAAACTAAAAATATGCATATAGTGTGACAGCATGTGCTGTTATGCATATATTGTTCCATTTATTCAGACTTTACGTGTTATTTAGCTATATTTAAAAGTAGCGTAAAATATACAATTTCTTCATTTTTGACAAGGAATCTGAAAATACAGAGTAATTCAGAGATTTTATCAAATCAAAAATTATAACAGACAAGTTGTAATAAGAGTGCTTTAATAAAGGCAAAATAATTTTAATAAGTTTCTTATTATTACCAAATGTTAATATTTTATGCTCGTAGTGAAAGAATATAAAGTAAATATTCTTTACTCTAAACTTTACGGTTGGATGGACAGACTGATGCTGCCCATTGAATTAACAGTATTATTAGAATGAAATTCAATACATTACCATAATAATAGAATGAAAATTCGAGCAATGTATGACATAATGAATAATAAATTTTAAACATTTGTCTCTTTTGTTTTTAAGCATTTGTTGTTTATTCCAAGAATATAATTTAAGATTTAAATGTATACTGTGCGCAAAATTAAAAACCGACTACCTTGAAAATCTTTTGATCTTATCGTCGGATCTTCACGTTCTAGGACTCAATCCTCATGGTTTGAAGAGGTGACCTTAAATATGCTAATAAATTAGTGCAGATGTTTCAAGTTACGAAATCAGGCACAAATACGTAATTTCTTCTGAATAAACATACCTTTTTTTGTTGTTGATGGATTCAGATTTCTGTCCCCCAAATTATGGGGGGTTAGTAGCAATCAGGGAAATATGCTCCGCATATTTTGGTCAGGAGAGCGGTACAAACTTTCGACCCCTTAATGTCAATTTTATTTTTTGGATATTTCGCCATATCTCTGGAACATTTTAAAATAATTGAAAACTTTTTGCACCCAACTATAAAAGTCGTCAATTCCAACAAAATTCCATGAAAAATATAACTTCTAATAAATATTTATTCTTTTTTTATTTTATTTAATGATGGTCCAAAATATTTTGAATTAAACGTATAAAATTTTTGGATCATTTAGAAAAGTGTAATTTTACATTTCTGAATAAAAAATCGGTCCTGAGAAATTGAACTTTAAAAAGAACCCGTATTTTTACAATTTTAGCTCTTAGGAACTATTCACTCAAATTTTGTATTTTGCAA